TTCTGTGACTGACTAAATTCACTGAGCATAATGCCCTCCAGATTCCTCCATGTTATGTTTTACGGCTTCGCCATTGTTCTTTACCGTTGCATAGAATTCCGTTGTGTGGATATACAATAATTTGTTTATCCATTCCTTCGATGGGCACCTAGGTTGTTTCCATCTTTTTGCTATTGTGAACAGTGCTGCAATGAGCATGGGTGTGCATATATCTATTGGTGTGATAGCTCTTATTTCTCTAGGATACATTCCAAGGAGTGAGATTGCTGTATCATATGGTACTTCTATTTCTAGCTTTTTAAGGAAGCACCAAATCGATTTCCAAGGTGGTTGTACCATTTTACATTCCCACCAACACTGTATAAGTGTTCCAATCTCTCCACAACCTCTCCAGTATTTATTATTTTGTGTTTTTTTGATTAATGCTAGCCTTGTCGGGGTGAGATGATATCTCATTGTAGTTTTGATCTGCATTTCTCTAATGGCTAATTATCCTGAGCATTTCTTCATGTGTCTATTAGCCACCTGAATGTTTTCTTTGGTGAAGTGCCTGTTCATATCCTGTGCCCATTTTTTAATTGGGTTATTTGCCTTTTTTTTTTTTTTTTTTTTTTTTGAGGTTTTGCAGTATCTTGTAGATTTTAGAGATTAGATGCTGACCAGATTTGTCGTAGCCAAAATTTTTTTTCCCAGTCTGTTGTCTTTTTACTCCTTTGGTGAAGTCTTTTGATGAGCATAAGTGTTTAATTTTCAGGAGCTCCCAGTTGTCTAGTCTGTCTTTTGGTGCTTGTACTTAGTTACTTATGGTTCATATTGTGTTTATGCCATGTATTAGGGCTACTAGTGTTGTCCCTATTTTTTCTTCCAGGATCTTTATCGTTTTCGATTTTATATTTAAGTCTTTGATCCATTTTGAGTTAGTTTTTGTGCATGGTGTGAGGTATGGTTCTTGTTTCAGTTTTTTGCAGATGGATATCCGGTTCTGCCAGCACCATTTGTTAAAGAGACTATCTTTTCCCCAATTATCAGACTTTGGGCCTTTACCAAATATCAGCTGCTCGTAGGTGGCTGAATTTATGTCTGGATTCTCAATTCTTTTCCATTGGTCTATGTTTCTGTTGTTGTACCAATACCGGTCTGTTTTCACTACCGTGGTGGTATAATAGGTTCTAAAATCAGGTAGTTTGAGGCCT